CGCTCGGCCCCGCCGCCGCCGAGCCGCCCGCCATGGCCGTGCCGCGGCTCGACTTCGTGCCCAAGCGGCCGAGCGTCTTCGAGAGGATCCCCGCGCTGCCCGAGCCGCGAGGCGCCAGGGGCTCCAAGGAGCACTGCCAGCCGCACAGGCACCAGAGCCTGAAGGGTGAGTCTGAGAACGCACGGACCGCACACCAGCACCCCCAAACAAAATTGTGATTTCTCTTAATTTTTTTTTTYCCCCCTCTTTCTGGTCTCCAGGATAGCCTCTAATTTATTTAATGCTCCTGACTTTATACATATACACACATATATGCATATATTTAATATATATATGCACATATAATATATATACGCACATATATGTTGTATTTTTACGCGGTGCTGCGGCTCCCCGCAGCTCCCCGCCGGGCGTTTGCGGTGCCCGGTGCCGGTGCCCGGTGTCGGTGCCCGGTGCCGGTGCCCGGTGCTCGCGCCGCGGTTGCCTGGAGTTGGAGTTTGTGTTTCAGGGAGGCGCCGGCGCGAGCGGCCGATCCCCGGGCTCGGGATTCCTTGTGCCCAGAACCCATGGCATAAGGTCAAATCCGGCTGGTTAACAAATGCCAGGTTTTTGTCTGTTTGCTGATGGTGAATTTACACTAGGAATTGCCCACTGAGATCTGTTASCTTTTTGAGCTGGAACTTTGTGATGAAAACTTGGATTTAAGGGAATCCCTGCAAGCAATGGATGGGTTCAGAGGGGATTCGGGAATTCCTTTACGCTACGAAGCCGCTTGCATGGACACATTCATGTAGGTTATTAATGTTAAATCAGTGTCTTCTCTAAGGTGTGGTAGCTGACTCCTTTTTTTCCCCTCAGTCCTTCCCCAGTTTCCATTTAAAAAATGTATGTTCCCACTGGGAGTTTTCAGGTGAATTTCCTTCTTTCCCTCCCTTTGAAAACTGGAGCAGACTGTGTGTCCTTAGAGGAGCAACGCTCTCCTTTGTGAGCCCGTTACCCAGGGCCGTGGGACCCGTCCTGCCCTCGCGTTTCCTTAGCAAACACCTCCACGGGGCTAGGTCCCACCTACAGAATTGGTACCACTCATCACCACTCAGTACAGAGCGGAGCAGCAGGTTATAAATTAGCTTTTTTCCTTTCTTTTTCTGCCTTTCCCCCCCCCACCCCCGTTTGTTATTGCTGCATTTCTCTGCTCCTGATTATTTTTTTTCCTCCTATTTGGACAGAGCTCTGTTACACAGAGTCCGATGGTTTTGGAAGGGGGAATCATGAAGGAATATGAGGGGATGACTAAAAGGTCTCGTACCGCAGACACTGGTGGGATGTGCGAATCCCTCGTGGCCCCGGGAGTTACGTTGTGCCRCTTAACTCGTGTTTGAACCAAGTTAAAAACAAACCCCTGTGTTGCCCTACGCAAGCTGGCTGGTGAAGCACTGCTGGGATTGCTATTTATTTGGGGTTTCTTGTGGCAGACACTTGTGACTGACTGATTTTCCCTTTTTGGTKAAAAAAAGCTGGTGAAAAAGCCTCTATTTTAAACGTTGTTGCTGTTTTTTTTTTAGTGTTTTATATATTTTCTATTGAGCATGTTGCCTCATGGTTGCTTCAGTGTTTGGGTGGCTCGACTCCTGGCAGTAAGGAGTTACCTCCTGTCAGAATTAGGCTCAAATACTGAGTCTGGCGTTTTGATGGATAACGTCGGATTTTCCAAAGGTGGCAGTCCTACTTTTTTTTTTTTTTTCTAAAGATATTTGCAGGAGAAGTTTAAGGAAAACGAAACGTTGAGCTAGGTTCTGATTCATATTCCAGCCCGCGGCGTGTCAGGAAGCGTCCGGGCGGCTGCTGGGGCATTTTGGAGCCCGGCACCCTCTGCCTTAGAGTCGAGTGCGTCACAGCCCCTTCCGTGGGGACAGCAAAAGCCACTAGTGCCTCTTGGAGAAGGGAGCGGGYGGGATCTCGAGGAGATAGAGGAAAGGGCCAGGGATAGCAGCTGGATGTGGGTGGGATATAACGGGACAGGCTAAGAAGTGGGAATGGGGAGCACACRGATTGACCCGGTGAAAGGTTTCAAGAAGGCAGCTGATGACAGCCCGACTTCAGATATCACACAGGGCGCCGAGGAGCTCGTAGCCCGTGATTCCCGCTGCAGCCTGGCTTAGATTATGGAACTGCCTCCTGCTTTTGCTTTATCCACCGTTAAAAGCTGTGAGGAGGGAAGGGAAAAGACCCTCTTCACCAAGAGCAAAACCAATTTTTTACAGTTACCTGTAAAAAAAAAGATTCTTTCTAAACACATCTCTAATTTTTGTTGCTGTTTTTTCAAAGAAGGATAAATCAAAATGATACGTTGCCCTATTAATAATAAGGCAGCTTTGAAGCAATSCCAGCGGGGGTCCGAAAGCCTCCTGCTGCCGCTGCGGTGTCTCTGCAGCGCGAGCTGCCGCCTCACGGCGTTCGAGGCACGATCCTGCAATTGCTGCCATGCCTGAGCAAGTCTTTTTACCCAAAGAATCAAAAAAAAACCCMAAAAAAACCAAAAAAACCCTTAAAGGGTAGTGGTGAGGATTATTTCTGGGAATCAGAGCGTTCGGRTGTGAGGTTGCAGGATGGGGCTGCTGTTTGTTTACCAAAATATGGGTATTTTGGAATAGTGCTTTCTATCATGTTCTGTTTGGGAGTTTTTTGTTTTAAACACCCTGTTTCCCCCAGCCTCCCCGTTCTGGCGTGATTGGCTCTTGTTGATCATTGATTTCCCTGAAGGAGGAGTATTTGCACTCAAGCACTGCTGCTTCGAGCCACTGGTCCAGCAGGCCCAGAATAATTTTACCAAAAATTATGAGGCATATTTTATAAAGCTTCCCGGGATTATTTTATTTATTTATCTATGTTTTGTCTTGTTTCATTGAATTTTATACTAGGTTTGAAAGCAACAGAGGACAAATAAATAGTCAGCCATAAAGAAACTTTTGGGTCTTGGGAAAGCAAGCTCTAGTGACAAAAGAGTAATCTATAAACATGTCAGATCTCTCCTGCCTCTTTTTTTTTTTGAAATTTATTTCTTTTAATGACATTGATTATGGTCGTTACCAGGAAACGCTGCTCGTTTTCATTCTTTTCCAGCCTCGCTCAGTGTATCTAATCCATGACTCAGTAGAAATGACGAGATTTGTCCTGCTGGTTGTGCCACTTGGAAGTGGTCCAAGGGCCCAGACTGAGCAGCAACCACTTCAGCTATTAACCTGCGCTGGGCAAAACAATAAGCTGTTCGGGTTGCAGTTTCCTTGTTGAGGGTATTTATTATTCACACAAGGAGGAAGTWTTTTTTTTTTCTTTCTTTTAATTAGAGCTGCCTTTGGCAATGCTAGCGCTACCRAGTAGTAGAAACGTATTCATTTTGTTTCGCTGCTCAGAAGGAGGTTTAAATCTTTAGTTTCAACCGTGTTGTGGCTGTTTCGTTGGGCAGAAGGACAGAGCTTGGCCTAAATGACAGCTCGTGGTGCTGGGATCTAAAGCACGAGCGTGTGGCTTTGTTGCATGRCTTATTAGATATATGGGCTGGTCTAGAGCCCGATCCTGCTGTTTTCTTCCGTGCACCTTGTCTGTATTTACCAGGGTTATCCCGCTGAAGCAAACGGGACTGTGCGGTGCCCGAGCGCTGCCTGTGCTGATAAGGGCACAGGGCACGAGGCTGCCCGGGTGCTTATCTCGGAACCTCCTCCGTTTCCATACGGAGCTGCGGTAACGCGTGTTTCCCACTGCACCTCGCACAGGCTTCTTCGTTGCTTTCACAGCAATGTGCATTTGAACTCGTCTCTGCAAACAGGATTTTGAAGGTTTCGTTGAACTGATAATTACATCTATGTTTATTGCATGGACTGTTTTTTTTTTATGATCTGCAGGCTTTCTTTTTAGGGGGAAGGAGAAAGGGAAGGAAACTGCAGATTGGAGAATATGCTCATGAAATCTTCAGGGTAAACTGTGACTGTCTCTTCCTCCCTTCAATTAGCTAAAGTGCTCACCCATTTTCAACGGGAAAACAACTTCCAGTTACTTTCTGTTGAAGGAAGTTCTAGTGATTCATGTTGCAGAGTCAGAGTCACTGAAATTAAGATTCCCCTTTCATGCCTTCCCTCAGAAAGGGGATTAATTCTATCAGAGCATCTGTTTGTTTGTTTTCTGCATTTCTGGTAGAGAACATTTGGCTAATACAAACCAGAAGAACTTGCAATCAATCTGTTTATATAAAGGCATTCAGTACTTGCAGTGTGAAAGCACAAAAGATCCTGCTTCAGGACAAAAAAACAAAAGCTGTTGGGAAGAGGAAGATAATAGGTATTATATCTGCCTTATTATTGTGTGGAATTGTCCAGAATAGGAAATAATGTTAGATTACAGGAAACAGATCTGATGAGAAAGAGATTTTGTAACATCTTGAATTTTGCTGGAAGGAATAGAAGTCAATAAGAAATTACTTGCTCTGACCTTAAAGTGTTATATTAAWATGGAGTGAAGACGGATTATCATGTACTCTCCTAAGTAGGATGAGAAGAATTTTGAATTCTCTTTTTTTCACGGTAAGAAAATGACAAATTAGAACCTAAATCTTGCAGGTTACCGTGGTTCTGTGGGTAGGCTCGTTGGCTATGAGYACTTGGCATGCGGCATTTTCTAAACTGTCTGCTTAAAGAGCTCTAAATGCTTGTTCCTGTGCTAGAGTTCAACCCTGTAAACACATRAACTGCTAAAGCCTGCGCGAAAGGGGTTTTAGTGGCTGTGAGATTATWTTCCAAACGCGCCGGGCAATTAGTAAAAGGACGAGAAGCAAGTGCCTGTGTTCTGGGAGATTAGTACTCAATTATTGCTGCAAAACGTTCGRTTTTGCTCTCGGGGAGCAAAGATGTTGGCTATGTTGATTAGCAGGGACAAATTTTCACTCTAAATTGTTAAAATCAACGGGAGTCTTGCAACTTCTTTACCTGGATCAGTATTTCAGCCCTAGTGTTACCAAACTTCTTTATTCTGGGTGTGGGGAAAAGCTTGTAGAGCAAATAATGAGGTAAATCCCTCTGTAAGCTAGGAAGTGGARTAACATATAGACTGTTTAGGAAGGGAAATTTAGAGTACGTGGATGYCGTTCATGCATCAGTCCGGTGATCACCGTTATT